ACTCCTCCACATGTAATAATCGAAAGAAGAATGAAAGAGCAAATGACATTTTCCGTTTGTACTCATAAAGGAAGAGACTTGAGTCGTCACCGGAACTCCGTTCTTAGGATGACCGGTTTTTTAGAAGCTTGATTAATTTAACCGCCCGGTTTAATTTGATCTATTTTAATTAATTGACCGGTTTAATGTGGGAATATTTTTTTTTGGTACGGGTGAGTATTATTAGAATTTTTTTTGTTTTTTTGGTCGTGGGTGTGTATTAGATAAATCCCCGACAATTGTATAATTTGTATTACCTAATTGAATTATTTTAATGTTTTGAATCAATTTGATTTTTTTTTTTGTCAAATTGATTGAATTTGGTTAACTTGAAAAGAGGAAAACCGAATAAAATGTATTAGGTTAAATACTTAAAAATAGGTTTTGGGTTTGCTAGTGAAGTAATTGGTTTCTTGGCTTATAGATTTTGTCTTCGGTCGCATTCGTAGGATTATGCAACTTGTTTGCTCTATTTTTTTTGGTTAGAATATTATATTAAACCCTGAGGAATACATGACGGACTACAAGATCTGATATAAGTTCACTACAACAACAAAGCCAACGGAAGACAAGCTTCCTTGGAGACATATACAGGACACTAGAATCTAAAACAAAGGAGAAAGGGTACTGATAAAGATAAAAGAATAATTCTCGACCCATGCTCAAAACACTGAATCATCAACACAATCCTACAAATTTAACCATAAAACCTGGAAATGTCAAAACTGAGCCAACAAACATAACTAGGAGCAGAACCTAAACCTTGAGGCACACCCAAAGAGGTGGAAGACCAGAACGCGGCTCTAGAACTAACTTAACCGGCAACAGCAGAAGCGGAGAAGAACGCGGACGGTAATGAAAACAAAGCAAAGAACCAACACTAAAGTGATTAGACCAGGATAATCGGGATCTTGAGAAGGCAATGGCGCACGACAAATATACCATGATCTCCGAGCCCAAACAAAAGAATCAAGCCAACCTCAAAAACCAAACAAACGCATAGACCACTAAAGAGCCTAGGTGCAAGAAATAAAAACTTTTACCTAATCAAAAGAACCCTATCTCAGCCAAAAGAACAACTCTGAAATACCAAGCAAAGGAAATGAGAGCAAGGAACCGAGCCAGAAAGAAGAGATGAAGAGACTTCACCTTTGTCCGGTCAAACCAAGACCGTTGAGGGACCGCAAAAGAGAACCCAAACAATCCGAGAAACCCAATCGCCGAACAGATCTAAGAAGGGAGCAAACCGGAGATTCAAACAAAAACGAAGGAGACAAAGCAAAGGTGAAAGAGCCACCAAGGAGAGATGACCCAAGCTCCGACGGTCACCAAAACTGTGGATCCACCTCCACAAATCACTATTACCGACAAATGCCTTCTTCCCTATCACCCAATACCAGGCGAGGACCAACACAAAAGAGACGAAACATAAAAGATCTAGCGCTAAGCAAGAATAAGAGGGGTCCGTGACCGGCGCTAAAGGAGCCGCCGGCCCCCGGAAAGCAAGATCGAAAAGTTTGAGTTTGAGAAAGAAGGTCGCCTCTTTTGTATCTGGCGGAGCTCACGAGGAATTTATAAACACGGAAGTTTGTGATACTGCAACTTGTTTGCTATATAAACTGTTGTAATTTCCTTACCAATAAAAGTAATTAAAAGTCAATTGTTTCCATAAGAAAATGTTTGACTTCGTTTCTATTTTCCAATACATAAAACTGAATTTCCAAATACATATATTAGAAAGAAAAACTCTAGCAACAATAATGCATCATCGTACAGACAAGACGGTTCATGGCCATGTGGTTCCTGCCAGTTTGATCACAACTGTTCTTCTCGGGATTCTTATAATTATAAGTTCTGTTGAATAAATAAATTCATACAGTGCAACTTTTTATTTTATTTTGAAAATGATAAATATATTTAATTCCTTCACAAATCGGACTTTATATTTAAAAAATATATTTTAAAATTATCGTGATTATACCGCATCTTGATTTATATATTTGCCAATTGTATAATGCGTGAAAGTTGCAAAATTATATAGAGAGACCACTTGAGCAGATTTTAAAATTGATTTGGTCTGAGAATGTATACAAGTGACAAATGTTGTGATTCCAGCGGTTTTACCAGACTCTGATACAAGAGGTTGCGCCGATGTACTAATCTCAGTGCAAGCTCTTAGTCATAAGACTGATTCGATCAAAGTCACATGTGATTTCCTGCCATTCTTCTTTTGTGGAAGTTATTTCCACTTCAGATATTCCAAAAGAAACACTTGTTAGAACCCATTTTATCAAGTGTTAAAGCTCATGTGTGCACTACTTAAAAGTGCTGTTACTGGAATGTGCACGGCCTCGATTAACACATTTTCTGGAGTCGATTGATGATTGATCTGATTCTGAAAAAGATTCTGATATGTTGGATCCAATGACGCAAAGACTCCTTCGTAAAAGATCTAGTGGATATGCAATCATCTTCCAAACCCGGTGGACGTGGCTAGATGTTTCTCCCTTTGACATTTAAATCAAACGAAGTGGAAAATTCTTTTGTCTCTATTATACATTTCATGTAATCCAATTTTTTAAATCTCTCTGTTATATCTTTCAAAACTATATGACTTTGCTTGTAACTTATAACCGTTTCTATTAATAAAATATAGGAAATTTTACAAAATATGCAATTTATTGTGAAATTGTTTCAAAATCTACCATTATTGTATAACCTTTCACCAATTACCACAAGAAAAGATGAAAAGACTGTTCTATCCTCATTCACACAT